AGAAGCAGGACAAGGTGGTTTTGGAGTGGTTTTGTCCTGTTTTTGGGTGTTTAGGGGTCTGACCCTGTATCCCATAGGAGAAGGAGGACAGGGTGGTTTTGGGGTATTTTGGGGCTGGTTTAGTAGATTTGGAATGCTTTTTTCTCTTTTTGGGGGCTTTTTGGGCGCTCTGACCCTGTATCCCATAGCAGAAGCAGGACAAGGTGGTTTTGGGATGGGTTTTGGGGTGTTTAGGGTTGTTTTTGTTCTGTTTTTGGTCTGTTTTGAGGCTCTGACCCTGTATCCCATTGGAGAAGTAGGACAAGGAGGTTTTGGACTGTTTTGGGCCTCTTTTGGTGGGTTTTGAGTGTTTTTGGCCTGTTTTGGGTCTGTTTGGGGGCTCTGACCCTGTATCCCATAGGAGAAGCAAGACAAGGTGATTTTGGTGTGGTTTTGGCCTGTTTTGGAGTTTGCTATGTGTGTTTTGGGCTGGTTTTTGCCTGTTTTTTGTCATGTTTTGTGGCTGTTTTGAGTCTGTTTTGTGGCTCTGACCCTGTATCCACAGGAGAAGCAGGACACGGTGGTTTTGGGGTGGTTTTGTCCTGTTTTGGGGGTGTTTTGGGGCTGTTTTGAGGCTCTGACCCTGTATCTCCTCGGAGAAGCAGGACAACTTAGTTTTGGGGTGTTTTGGGGCTGGTTTTAGAATCATAGAATCATAGAATAGTTAGGGTTTGAAAGAACCTTAAGATCATCCAGTTCCAACCCCCCTGCCATGGGCAGGGACACCTCACATTAAACCATAGCACCCAAGGCCTCGTCCAACCTGGCCTTGAACACTGCCAGGGATGGAGCATTCACAACCTCCCTGGGCAACCCATTCCAGTGCCTCACCACCCTCACAGGAAAGAATTTCCTCCTTAGATCCAATCTAAACTTCCCCTGTTTCAGTTTTAACCCGTTACCCCTTGTCCTTTCACTACAGTCCCTAATGAAGAGTCCCTCCCCACCATCCCTATAGGCCCCCTTCAGGTACTGGAAGCTGCTATGAGGTCTCCACGCAGCCTTCTCTTCTCCAGGCTGAACAGCCCCAACTTCCTCAGCCTGTCTTCATACAGGAGGTGCTCCAGTCCCCTGATCATCCTCGTGGCCTCCTCTGGACTTGTTACAGTATCACAGTATCACAGTATGCTGGAGATTGGAAGGGACCTCAAAAGATCATCTAGTCCAATCCCCCTGCCAGAGCAGGAACACCTAGATAACGTTACACAGGAATGTGTCCAGGCGGGCTTTGAATATCTCCAGGGAAGGAGACTCCACAACCTCCCTGGGCAGCCCGTTCCAGTGTTCCGTCACCCTCACTGAGAAGAAGTTCCTTCTCATGTTTAAGTGGAACATTCCAGATGGGGTCTCACCAGGGCAGAGTAGAGGGGAAGGAGGACCTCTCTCGACCTACTAACCACCGCCCTTCTAATACACCCCAGGATGCCATTGGCCTTCTTAGCCACAAGGGCACAGTGTTGGCTCATGGTCATCCTGTCGTCCACTAGGACCCCCAGGTCCCTCTCCCCTACACTGCTCTCTAGCAGGTCGTTCCCCAACCTATACTGGAACCTGGGGTTGTTCCTGCCCAGATGCAGGACTCTACACTTTCCCTTGTTATATTTCATCCCGTTATTCCCTGCCCAACTCTCCAGCCTGTCCAGGTCTCGCTGGATGGCAGCACAGCCTTCTGGCGTGTCAGCCACTCCTCCCAGCTTAGTGTCATCAGCAAACTTGCTGATAGTACACTCAATTCCCTCATCTAAATCGTTGATGAATATATTAAATAATACTGGTCCCAGTACTGACCCTTGAGGCACTCCACTGGTTACAGGCCTCCAACTAGACTCAGCCCCATAGACTACAACTCTCTGGCTTCTCTCCTTCAGCCAGTTCGCAGTCCACCTCACTACCTGATCATCCAGACCACACTTCCTCAATTTAGCTGTGAGGATGCTGTGGGAGACTGTGTCAAATGCTTTGCTGAAGTCAAGGTAGACCACATCCACCGCTCTGCCATCATCCATCCACCGTGTTATTTCCTCATAAAAGGCTAAGAGATTGGTCAAACATGATTTCCCCCTGGTGAAGCCATGTTGACTGCCCCTCATAACCCTCTTATCCTTGATATGCTTTAAGATGGCACCAAGGATAAGGTGTTCCATCACTTTCCCAGGGATGGAGGTGAGGCTGACCGGTCTATAGTTACCCGGGTCCTCCTTCTTGCCCTTTTTGAAGACCGGAGTGACATTTGCTTTCCTCCAGTCCTCAGGCACCTCTCCTGTTTCCCAGGACTTGGTAAAGATGATGGAGAGTGGTCTAGCAATGACTTCCGCCAGTTCCCTCAGCACCCGCGGGTGCATCCCATCTGGACCCATGGATTTATGGACGTCCAGATTGCTCAACTGATCTCTAACCCATTCCTCATCGACTAAGGCAAACCGCTCCGTCGACCTGACTTCATCTAAGGTCTCAGGGGTACGGGGCTCTTCAGGACTGCCTGCAGCAGAGTAGACAGAGACAAAGAAGGCATTCAGTAACTCTGCCATCTCTGCATCTTCTGTCACCAGGGCACCCATCCCGTTCATCAGTGGGCCTACATTGCCTCTGGTGTTAGTTTTGTCTGCCATGTATTTGAAAAAGCTCTTTTTGCTGTCCTTGACCCTTCTTGCCAGGTTTAATTCTAAGGAAGCCTTAGTCCTCCTAGCTGCCTTCCTACATCCTCTAGCAGCAGCCTTATATTCCTCCCAAGTGGCCAGCCCCTCCTTCCATGACCTGTAAACTCTCCTCTTCCACTTGAGCATACCCAGCAATTCCCTATTTAGCCACGCAGGTCTCTTGGCCCTCTTCCTTGAGTTCCTACGTGTCGGGATGCTCCGATCTTGAGCACGGAAAAAGCAATCCTTGAACGCCAACCAACTATCTTGGGCCCCTTTACCTTCAAACAGCCTTGCCCATGGGATTTCCCCTAGCAATTGCTTGAAAAGGCCAAAGTCTGCCCTGCTAAAGTCCAGGGTTGCAATTCTACTTGGTATTCTACTAGTCCTACCACACAAGATCCTGAACTTCACCATCTCGTGGTCGCTGCAACCAAGGCAGCCCTCAACCCTTACTGCTTCAACCAGATCCTCCTTGTTAGTGAGGATGAGATCCAGCAGCGCTCCTCTCCTGGTCGGCTCATCCACCATTTGCAGGAGGAAGTTATCATCCACACACTGGAGGAACCTCATGGACTGTGGCTGGGTTGCCAAGCGGTCCTTCCAGCAAACATCAGGGAAGTTAAAATCCCCCATGACGACCACGGCCTGTGACTCTGAGGCCGCTCTCAGCTGCCTGTAGAAGGCCTCGTCAACTTCCTCACCCTGATCTGGTGGTCTGTAACAGACACCTACAACAGTATCGCCCCTGCCAGCCTGCCCCTTAATTCTCACCCACAGACTCTCAACTCGCTCGTCATCTGTCCCTGGACAGAACTCGGTGCATTGTAGCTGCTCTCGCACATAAAGAGCAACCCCACCACCCCTCCTGGCTGGCCTCTCTTTCCTGAAAAGGACATAGCCCTCCATGACTATATTCCAGTCATGTGAGCTGTCCCACCACGTCTCTGTAATTGCCACCAGATCATAGTCTCCTGACTTAACACAGGTTTCCAACTCCTCCTGCTTATTTCCCATGCTGCGCGCATTGGTGTACAGACATTTCAGGGAGCGAGCTGAGCACACCGATTTCACCCGAGGATTATAGGAGGCCTCCCAGTCTTCATTAATTCTGGAGCGCTGCCCCACTGGGGCAAGCCCAGCAACAACCCCATCCCCCTTTGAATCTAGTTTAAAGCTCTCCAAATGAGCCCTGCTAATTCATGCCCCAGGATCCTTTTGCCTCTGTGAGACAAACCTTTCTCACTTGTCATTGTCCAGACTGGTGCCCTATAAAACCAGCCATTATCAAAGAATCCAAAGCCCTGCCTGTAGCACCAGTCTCAAAGCCAATTGTTCATGAACTGAATCTTCCCATTCCTTCCCACATCATCAGTGGAAGATGGAAGGAGTGCGGAGAAGATCACTTGAGCCCCAGACTCTTTCACCATCCTCCCCAAGGCCCTGTGGTCTTTCTTCATCCCCCTCAGACTGCGGGAAGCAGCTTCCTCCCCACCTGTCTGGAAGACCAGCAGTGGGTAGCAGTCTGTCGGGTGCACCAGGTTGGGGAGCGCCCTAGAGATATCCCTGATCCGGGCTCCAGGCAGACTACACACTTCCCTATGATGAGGGTCAACTCTGCATATCGGGCCCTCTGTTCCTCTCAGAAGGGAATCCCCTACTACAATGACCCTTCTTTCTTTCTTATCAGAGGCAGTCCTGAGGTGCAAAGTCGACCCCCTTTTCCTATGTGGCCTTGTGGGCTGGCCTTGCCCCACATTCTCACTTACCTCTCCTTCAAGATCCAGGGCCTCGAACCTATTACGGACGGACACCTGGGGAAGCAGGGCAGGAAGGGGGGAGGGTTTCCCCCGACGTCGAACCGGAACTCGCTTCCAACCCTCGTCGTCTTTTTGGTCCCCTACCTCTGCGCAACAGCTACAGGGCAGGGGCTGTCTCGGGCCATCCCCCTCTGCCTGAGAAGGCAGGGGGTCCTTCCCCTTTTTTCTCCTCCTTCAGCACGCCTTACTCCTCTCCCTTTTCACTCCCTTCTCCTCCTCTTTCTCCTTTCTTTCTTCCTCATTCTTTGGGTTCTTCACCTTTTGTTCCTGCTCTTTCTCCCTCCCCAGAAGCTGCACGTGACCTGGAGGAGACACTTCAGCTCCTTCCCCTCGGCGCAGCTCCCAGTCCCACTCCTGGGCCATCTCCTGGGCCACCTCCTCTTCTGCTTTGCTGAGGACAGGACAAGCTCCCCAGCCCTGGATGCTCTTTGCAGCCTCCATCAGTACCTCCTGGAGCAGGAAGGTACCAGAGGTCGTGATGGGCTCCCCCAACCCCTCCCATTGGCTCCCCTGTGTCCCATTGACTCCCCTGTATCCCATTGACTCCCCTGTGTCCCATTGACTCCCCTGTGTCCCATTGACTCCCCTGTATCCCATTGACTCTCCTGTGTCCCACTGACTCCCCTGTGTCCCACTGACTCCCCTGTGTCCCATTGACTCCCCTGTGTCCCATTGTCTCCCTTGTCTCCCATTGACTCCCCTGTGTCCCATTGACTCTCCTGTATCCCATTGGCTCTCCTGTGTCCCATTGACTCTTGCGTATCCCATTGACTCTCCCATATCCCATTGGTTCTCCTGTACTGCATACACTCTCCTATATCCCATTGACTCTGCTGTGTCCCATTGGTTCTCCTGTACCCCATTCCCCCTGTGTCCCATTGACTCTCCTGTATCCCATTGGCTCTCCTGTGTCCCATTGACTCTTGCGTATCCCATTGACTCTGCCATATCCCATTGGTTCTCCTGTACTGCATACACTCTCCTGTGTCCCATTGACTCTGCTGTGTCCCATTGGTTCTCCTGTACCCCATTCATTCTCTGGTACCCCATTCGCTCTTCTGTGTCCCATTGACTCTCCTGTGTCCCACTGACTCTCCTATGTCCCATTGACTCTCCTATGTCCCATTGACTCTCCTATGTCCCACTGACCCTGCCGTACCCCACTGAATCTCCAGTGTCCCGTTGACTCTCCCATCTCCCACTGGCTCTCGTCTACTCCATTCACTCTCCTGTGTCCCATTGACTCTCCCGTATCCCACTGGCTCTCCTGTACCCCATTCACTCTCCTGTACCCCATTCACTCTCCTGTGTCCCATTGACTCCCCTATATCCCATTGACTCTCCTGTGTCCCCCTTGCTCTTCAGAAAGGCCAAAGCCAGAGCATGAAGTGGAAGAGCTCAGACGGGATGAAGAAACCAGCCCCCGAGACCTCACCATGGTAATGGAGCTTCCCCCATTGCTTGACCCTTTGGTGGGATGCTTCCCCAAGCACGGGCAACGCCGCTCCCATGCTCCCAACCTTCCTCCCATAGAGGTTTGCAGGCTCCCTTTATCCATGGGAGAGGACGGACATGGTCTGCGTGGTCATCGAGGCCATGAAGGACTTGAGCATCTTCGACAGGAGGGTGGCAGAGGACATCCTGGAGCTGGTCATGAGCGACCTCGACTTCTGGCTGGCGGAGGTGGGTGCCCCATGGCTTTGTGCCCATCCCCTTCGGTCCTTCCTCCTCCATCCTAAACCTAGGAGGGGTCTTGGGTACCAAGATGCAGCAGAGAGGGGTGGGGAATCCGGTCCCAGCACCATCCTCACCCGTGCTCCCGTTTCCAGATGCCCATCGTTGTGAGGAGCATCCGTGATTGCCTGCGGATTAGCAACAGGAAAGCGACGTGGGACAGGATGGACATGCTCCTCACCCTGATGGCCATCAAGCACCCGAGGGCATTGGCCATCAGCATGGTCCTCAATGTGCCCTTGAGATACAGGTACCAGCCTTGAGGGCTTGGTCCCTATGGCCACCAGACCCAAGGATCCACGGCAATGGATGATCTTAAGGCCCTTTCTATGATGCTGAAGAGCGGGTCCCTGCATCCCACCCCATGGCATTAGGTCTGGAATTGGATGACCTTAAGGCCCTTTCCATGATGCTATGACATCCCTGAGGAGCGGGTCCCTGCATCCCACCCCATGGGGAGCACCACCACTAACCCCCATATGGCATCCCATGGGATGCAGGGACCACGCTGACTCAGCACTCTGCCTTCCAGCGCTGATGTGCACATGTGGATCGTGACCATATCCAGGACTTTGGAGGTTCTACGGGAGCTGCTGGGGATGCCCCAGGACATCCGGGACACCTCCATCCCCAACTTGGTTGTGAGTCCCAAAGGGCCCTGATGAGTCCCATGAGACCTGCAGGCTCGGTGGGGTCTCAATGCCTGTGTTTGCCTTAGACCATGGCCTCCGCTACTGGTGGTGCTGAGGGAGCTGAGGAACCCCAGAACCTGGTGACTGCGTTCGTGCTGCTGGAAAGACTCTTGGAGCTGTCGAAGAAACCTTTCTTGGTGAGGGGGCATGGCCATGGGGCAGGACGTGGGCATGGGGCAGGGCACGGCCACAGAGAGCCCTCTTGGCCATGGGGCAGGGCATGGCCATAGGGACCCCTCTTGGCCATGACCTTGGTGACCATAGCCCTGGGTCAAGGCGTCCCCACAAGGAGCCCCCACCTCTTCCTGCAGGCATTGAAACTGCAGAAGCTCCTGCCCCACATCGTGTGCCGGCTCCGGGATGCTGAGGACGAGCTCAGGATAAAGGCCCTGATGATCATATGGAATGTGATGGGTCAACTCCCGAGTGAGGAGGCCAGCCCCATTGCCGTGGGGCTGGTGCAGGACCTCTGGCCCCTCTTTGATGGAGTAAGGGCTGCGTGGGACCCCTGCGGTGATTTGGAGCTCGCATGGGGGTGGCTCCAGGGCTTCACATCCCATCAGGATCTGCCCAAGTCCCCCCTTTTCCTCCTTCCCTCCAGGGATGCAGCCGGCTCCGGGAGCTCTCCATCCGCCTGTTCCAGTTCCTGCTGGAGTTGGTGTTTGGTGGCGACAGGAGGAGGATGCAGAGCGAAACCTGGGATCTGCTGCTCCCGCTCTTCATCCACATGAGCGACCAAAGCCACCGTGTGGCCGAGGTACAGACACCCCCCCGCCCCGGGTATCCCACATTCCCGAGGGTGGGATCAACCCCAAGGTGCCATCTCCCATCCCATCCTGTGCAGGCTTCCTGGGAAGCTCTCCTTGATGCGGCGACGCTCCTGGAATGGAAAGAGCTTCGGCGCCTATTGAAGACAAGGCAGACGTGGAGGGTAGCAGAGTGCTTGGTATGGGCCCTTCATCCATTCCTGTTCCCATTGGAACCCCTTGCACCGCTCTGCTCATTCCACATGCGGATGGGAAAGGGAGCGTTGGGACTGCTCCAGCCAATGGGGGCGTTCTGTAGCATCCCATTCCTTCTGCAGCTGGAGTGGAGCAGGAAGAGGGCTCAGGGATACCTGGACCAGAGCCTGCGGTACCTGCAGGATGCTCAGGTCCCCTTGCAAGAGGCGGTTATCGTTTAGGGGAAAGGCCGTCAGGTTCATTGGATCAGCAAAAGTCCCTAAAAGCGCTCCCCATCCCGGTCCCCACTGCCGCATCCCTGATGGATCCCGATGGATGCTGACGGATCCCAATGAATCCCTGTGCCCAGGATTGGCTGCACGGCCCCTAAGAGGGAAAAGCCCAAGGAAGCTGGAGCAGATCTGCAGAGGTGAGGAGGGAGCAGGGGCTGGGGGGATGCTGGGGGCATATTATTATGATTATTAAGGATTTGGCCTCAAAATGAGGGGCTGGGAGGGGTCCTGCAACCCCTTATTGCTTAGGGGCTCATCCCAGTCTTTTCCTATAGGGAAGGCCTGAACCCCATAGGGAAGCCCCCAGCCCCATAGAGATGGATATTCTCAGTCCCCTGTAGAGGTTTGTGGCCCCATAAGAGCTGGTCCTCAGCCCCATAGAGATACTCTACCCCCTTATAGCCCTCTGCCCTATAGGGAAGGTCCTCAGTGCCATATGGATGCATATATGGTCCCATGTAGTTGCATTTGATCCCATACAGAGGCCCCATGTCATATATGGAAGCCCATGGCCCCATGTGGAAGCCCTCAACCCAACGCAGATGCTCGTGGTCCCATCTGGAGGCCCCATGTCACATATGAAGTTCATAGTCCCATACGGAGGCCCTTGCTCCTATATGGAGCTCCTCAGTCTCACATAGAGGCCCATAGCTACATATGGAGTTCCTCAGCCCTAAGCCCTAGATGGATGCTTGTGGTCCCATATGGAGGTCCCATGTCATATATGGATACTCCTACCCCCATATGGATGCTCCTAGCCCCATACAGAGGCCCTCAATCCCATATGGATGCTTGTGGTCCTGTATGGAGGCCCTTGGTCTGATACGGATGCTGCTGGTCCCATGTTGTATATGGATGCTGCTCATAGGACCATATAGAGTCCCTCAGCCCCATATAGAGGCCCTCAGCCCTAGATGGATGCGGGTGGTCCCGTGTGGAAGCCCCATGTCCTATATGGACGTTCCTAACTCCATAAGGATGCTCCTAACCCCATATGGATACCCTTGGTCCCATATAGACCCCTTCAGCCCCATATGGTGGTCCATAGGAGGACACAGCATCCCCTATACGAGTCCCATGAAGCATCTCCTGTGGCTCCATCCACTCCAGGCACTGGAGATGTCAAGTGTCCCTTATGGAATCCCAGTGCCTCCCTATGGAATCCCAGTGCTCCCTATGGAATCCCAGTGTCCAAGGGGGGGGGGCCCTGTGTCCTATGTGGGGGTCACAGCCCCTCTTTGTCCACAGTACCAGAGAAGACACAAGATCCTCAGTGTCCCTTATGGAACTGCGGTTTCTCCCTATGCAATTCCAGGGTTCCCTATGGAATGCCAGCGTTCCCTATGGAATCCTAGCATCCCAATGGTAGTCAAAGCTCCTGCTTGTCCACCGTGCTGGAGAAGACGCAAAATCCTTAGTGTCCCTTATAGAACTGCAGTGTCCCCCTATGGAATCTCAGCATTCCCTATGGAATGGCAGCATTCCCTATGGAATGACTGTTGTCCCTATGAATGCCATTGTCCTGGAGGGGATCACAGCTCCTCCTATGGGATACAGGGTCAGACCCCCAAAACAGCCCCCAAATGGCCCCAAAACAGCCCGAAACCACCACCAAAACACCACACAGCCATCTCAAAAACACCCCAAAAAAAAACAAAAACCACCTTCTCATGCTTCTCCTGCATGATACAGGGTCAGAGGCCCAAAACACACCACAAACACACCAAAAACACACTAAAACACCCCCCAAACATACCAAAACCACTTCAAAACACCCCAAAATCACCTTGTCCTGCTTCTCCTATGGGATACAGGGTCAGAGACACAAAACACTACATAAACACCCGCAAAAAAAACCAAAACTTCCCCAAAGCATCTTGTCCTACTTGTCCTATGGAGTACAGGATCAGAGACACAAAACAGCCCAAAACACCCTAAAATCACCTTATCTTTCTTCTCCTATGCAATACAGGGTCAGAGCCCCAAAACACACCATAACACCCCAAAACCACACCAAAACCAGACAAAAGCACCCAAAACCACCCTTGTCCTGCTTCTCCTATGGGATACAGGGTCAGAGCCCCAAAACAGCACATAAACACCCCAAAACCCCTCCAAAACACCCCAAAACCACCTCCTCCTGCTTCTCCTATGGGATACAGGGTCAGAGACCCAAAAAAGCCCAAAACACCCCAAAACACCCAAAACCACTGAAAACCACCTTGTCCTGCTTCTCCTATGCGATACAGGGTCAGAGCCCCAAAACAGACCCAAAGCAGCCCCAAAACACCCCAAAACCACCACAAAAACACCCCAATACCACCGTGCCCTCCTTCTCCTTTAGTATAAAGGGTCAGGGCCACAAAACAAACACCCCAAAACCACCCTAAAACACCCATACCCACCTTGTCCTGCTTCTCCTATGAATTACAGGGTCAGCACCAAACCATCCCAAAATCACCCTAAAAACACCCAAAAACACCCCAAAAGCACCCGAAAACCATCTGGTCCCTCTTCTCCTATAAGACACAGGGTCAGAGTCCAAAAAACACCCTAAAACACCCCAAAACCACACCCAAAAACCACGAAAACCACCACGAAAACCACCCAAAAGCCACCTTCTTCTGCTTCTCCTATATGACACAGGGTCAGAGCGCAAAAATATCCCAAAACAACCCCCAAATACAGCAAAGCACGCCAAAACCATCTTATCCAGCTTCTCATATGGGATACAGGGTCAGAACCTCAAAACAGACCAAGAACAGACCAAAACCACCTTGTCCTGCTTCTCCTATGGGATACAGGGTCAGAGACGCAAAACACCCCAAAACAACCCCAAAATACCCCAAAGCCATCTTGTCCTGCTTCTACTATGGCATACAGGGTGAGAGCCCCCAAAACACCCCAAAACCACCTTGTTCAAATTCTCCTGTGGTATACAGGGTAGGTGCCGCAAAAGAGCCAAAAAACAGCCCCAAAACAGCACAAAACACACCCAAAACACCTAAAAAACACCCCAAACCACTCCAAATCCACTTTCTCATGCTTCTCCTATGGGATACAGGGTCAGAGGCACAAAACACCACATAAACTCCCCAAAAGTACCTTAAACCACCCCAAAAACACCTTGTCCTTCTTCTTCTATAGGATACATGATCAGAGGCCTAACCAGCACCAAAAAAGCCCAAAACACTCTAAAACACACAAAAATACACAAAACCACCAAAAAACACCCTCAACAAACCACCTTGTCTTCCTTTTCCTATGGGATACAGGGTCAGAGTCCTAAAAGAGAGCCAAACCAGCCAAAAACCAGCCCAAACCCACAACAAAACAGCCTCAAAACCCCCCAAAACACCCTATACCACCCCAAAACCACTTGTCCTGCTACTCCCATGGGATACAGGGTCAGAGCCCCAAAACACCCCAAAACCATCCCAAAACCACCTTGTCCTGCTTTTATTATGGAATACAGAGTCAGAGCCAACCCCCCCCCCAAAAAAAAACCCTAAACCACCCCAAAACAAACTTGTCCTGCTTCTCCTATGGGGTAGAGGTTCACACCACAAAACAGCCCCCAAACAGCCCCCAAAAAGCCCAACACAGCCCAAAATCACCTTGTGCTGCTTCTCCTAAGGGATGCAGGTTCAGAGCCATAAAACAGCCCCAAAACAGCCCAAAACAACCCCAGATCACCTTGTCCTGTTTCTCCTATGGCATACAGGGTCAGAGCCCAAAATCAAACCGAAACAAAACAAAACCACACCAAAACTACACAAAGCCTCTCCCAACCCAACCTGTGCCGCTCCTATGGCATACAGGGTGGGAGCCCCTAAAACACCCTAAAAACACCCTAAACCACCCCAAAAGCACCTTGTTCTGATTCTCCTATGGTATACAGGGTCAGTACCACAAAAGAGCCCTAAAATGGCCACAAAAGAGCCCAAAATACCGCAAAAACTAACCAAAAACACCCCAAAACACCCAAAACCACTCCAAAACCACTTTCTCATGCTTCTCCTATGGGATACAGGGTCAGAGCCACAAAACACAACATAAGCTCCCCAAAAAACACCCTAAACCACCCCAAAGTCACTTTGTCCTGCTTCTTCTATAGGATACGTGGTCAGAGCACAAAACCAGCACCAAAACAGAACAAAAACACCCTAAAACACCCCAAAAATACACAAACCCACCAAAAAATCCCACCCCAAAACTCGTCATGCTTCTCCTACGGGATACAGGGTCAGAGCCCCAAAACACCCCATAAACACCCCAAAACACTCCAAAACCACCCCAAAACCACCATGTCCTGCTTCTCCTATAGGATACAGGTTCAAAGCCACAGAACAGCCCCAAAACTGCCCGAAAAAGCCCCAAAACCCTAAGATCACCTTGTCCGGCTTCTCCTATGGGATACAGGGTCACAGCCCCAAAAACACCCCAAAACCACCCTGTCCTGCTTCTCCTGTGGGATACAGGGTCAGAGCCCCAAAATACCCCCCCAAAAAAAACCAGAACACCCCAAAACAATCTTGTCCTGCTTCTCCTATAGCATACAGGGTGGGAGACCCCCAAACACCCCCAAACCACCCCAAACACCCCGAAAACACCTTGTTCTGATTCTCCTATGGGATACAGGGTCAGAGTCCAAAAACAGCACCAAAACAGCCCCAAAACACCATAAAAGACTCAAAAAGTACCAAAAAAAAAACCAAAAACCACCCAAAACCACCTTGTCCTGCTTCTCCTATGGGATACAGGGTCAGAGCCTCAAAAGAGAACCAAAAATAAAAAAAACAGCCTTAAAACACCCCAAAACAGCCTCAAAACACCCCAAAACACCCTACACCACCACAAAACTTGTCCTGCCTCTCCTACGTCAGGACAGTGTCAGAGCCCCAAAACGGACCCAAAACAGCCCAAAAACATGCCCAAAACACCCAAGCCACCCCCCCAAACCAACCAAAACCACCCCAAAACCACTTTCTTATGTTTCTCCTATGGGATACGAGGTCAGAGCCGGAAACCACCCCATAAACACCCTAAAACCACCCCAAAACACTCCAAAACCACCCCAAAACAACCTTGTCCTGCTTCTCCTGTGGAATACAGGGTCAGAGCCCCAAAACCACCAAAAAAACCCTCTCTAAACCCACAAAACCTTCTTGTCTTTCTTCTCCTATGGGATACTGGTTCAGAGTCCTATAACAGCCCCAAAACAGCCAAAACAACTCCAGATCACCTTGTCCTGCTTCTCCTATGGGATACAGGTTCAGAGCCCAAAACCACCCCAAAACAAAGGAAAACCACACCAAAACCACCCCAAAACACCCCAAATCCACCTTGTCATTCTTCTCCTAGGGGATACAGGGTCAGAGCCACAAAACAGCCCCCAAACAGCCTAAAAACACTGCCAGAACAACCCAAAACCATCCCAAAACCACCCTAAACCAACCCAAACTGGAAAGAGGATGTCGGTAAGAAAATCAGATGGACCTTTCACCTGATGTAACTGCAAGGCAAACACAGAGGTGCTTGGCTGATTGCTTGGGAGCATATAAATATCGTGTAATCTGTTCAATAAAGGATCCAGCTTGCACTCTACCTCTGGGTCCGTGCCTCCATCCTCACAACTTTCTCATGTTTCTCCTTTGGGATACAGGGTCAGAGCCACAGATCGCCTTATAAACGCCCCAGAAACACCCCAAACAACCCCAAACCACCTTATTCTTCTTCTCCTGTGGAATACAGGGTCAGAGTCCAAAACCACACCAAAAAAAAACCTAAAAAACCCCCAAAACACCTTGTCCTGCATCTCCTATGGGATAGAGGTGCAGAGCCACAGAACACCCCAAACCAGCCCCAAAACCAGCCCCAAAAAACCCAAGATCACCTTGTCCTGCTTCTCCTATGGGATACAAGGTCACAGCCTCAAAAGACCACAGAAATAACCCTAAACCACCCCAAACCCACCCTGTCCTACTTCTCCTGTGCTATACAGGGTCAGAGCCCTAAAACACCCTCCCAAAACCCCCAAAACACCGCAAAACCATCTTGTCCTGCTTCTCCTATAGCATACAGGGTGAGAGCCTGTGAGGATGGAGGCACGGACCCAGAGGTAGAGCGCAAGCTGGATCCGTTATTGAACAGATTACACGGTATTTACATGCTCCCAAGCAATTGCTAGCTGTAGTTTCTCCTTCCCATGGTCTTTGACAGCTTTGATACATTCCAATCCCCACAGGATACAGGGTCAGAGCCCCAGAACAGGACAAAACCAACCTAAAACACCCAAAAACCAGCCCAAAACCACCTTGTCCTGCTTCTCCTATGGGATACAGGGTCAGAGCCCCCAGACAGCCCCCAAACAGGACAAAAACTCTTCAAAACGCCCTAAACAGCCCCAAAACACAACAAAACCACCTTGTCCTGCTTCTCCTGTGGGATACAGGGTCAAAGTCCCAAAAGAGCCCCAAAACATGCCAAAAAGACCCCAAAACCACCCCAAAACCACCTTGTCCTGCTTCTCCTATGGGACACAGGTCAGAGCCCCAAAACACACAAAAACCAGGACAAAAACACCTCAAAACCACCCCCGAACGAACCCAAAGCCACCCTGTCCTGCTTCTAGAGGATACAGGCTCAGAGCCCTAAAACAGGACAAAACCAGCCCCAAAACACCCCAAAAATAATCCCCAAACCACCTTGTCCTGCTTCTCCTATAGGATACAGGGGCACAGCCACAAAACACCCCCCAAACAGGACAAAAACAGGCCAAAAACACCCCAAAAACAGCCCAAAACCACCCCCAAAACCACCTTGTCCTGCTTCTCCTGTGGGATATAGGGTCAGAGCCCCAAAACAGGACAAAAACACCCCAAAACACCACCAAAATACCCCAAAGCCACCCCAAAACCACCTTGTCCTGTTTCTCCCATGGGATACAGGGTCAAAGCCCCAAAACAGGACAAAACCACCCCAAAACCACCCCAAAACCACCTTGTCCTGTTTCTCCCATGGGATACAGGGTCAAAGCCCCAAAACAGGACAAAACCACCCCAAAACCACCTTGTCACACTTCTCCTGTGGGACACAGGGTCAGAACCCCAAAACAGCTCTAAAACAAGTCAAAAGCAGGCCAAAACTGACCCAAAACACCCCCACCACCCCCCCAAATCACTTTAAAACCACCCCAAAACCACCTTATCCTGCTTCTGCTGTGGGATACAGGGTCAGAGCCCCAAAATAGGACAAAAACAGCCCCAAAACACCCCAAAAACCAGCCCAAAACCACCTTGTCCCGCTTCTCCTACAGGATACAGGGTCAGAGCCCAAAACCAGCCCCAAAACAGAATAAAAACATCCCAAAACAGCCCCAAAACCAGGCCAAAACCACCTTGTCGTGCTTCTCCTGTGGGATACAGGGTAGGAGACCAAAACCAGACCCAAAACAGGAGATAAACACCCCAAAACACACAAAACCAGCTCCAAAACACCCCAAAACCACCTTTTCCTGCTTCTCCTATGGGATACAGGGTCAGAGTCCCAAACAGCCTTAAAACAGGGCAAAAACAACCCAGCCCAAAATCACCTTGTCCTGCTTCTCCTGTGGGATACAGGGTCAGAGCCCCAAAAGAGACACAAAACTGCCCCAAAACACTCCAAAAACCACCCCAAACCACCTTGTCCTGCTTCTCCTATGGGTGGCACCCAGTGAGAACCCAAAACAGCCCCAAATCACCCCCCCCCCCCCAAAATGGTACCTTCTGGAGGTCGCTGTGGAGCTGCTTTAGCCTGGCCTCGAGCTGCGACACCTTCTGGGGTAGGTCCAAGGGGGGGGGGGGGGGGGGCAAAGGGCAATGGGGGGGGGGCACTGGGGTGTCCCCATATTGGGGGGGGATCCCAGACCCACATGTGGGGGTCCCAGCCCCACATACAAGGGGGACATGGGGGGGGGGGGTCTCCATATGGGGGGGGTCCCTGTACCTGATGGGGGGGGGCGCCCCCCCGCGGCCTCTCCGGGGGGGTGTCAGGGCTCAGCACTGGCTCCATGAGGGAGAGCAGGGACACGGCCCTTTGCACTGGGGGGGGGGGGGTGGCACGTCAGCACCCCAAAACCAGCCCAAAACAACCAAAATACCACAAAACCAGCCCAAAACAACCAAAATACCCCAAAACCAGCCCAAAACATCCCAAAACCAGCTCAAAACACCCCAAAACATCCCAAAACCAGCCCAAAACACCCCAAAACACTCTGAAACACCCCCAAACCAGCCTAAAATATTCGCAAAACAGCCCCAAACACCCCAAACCTCCCGAAACACCCACAAAGCAGCCTCGAACACCCCAAACCACCCCAAACAGCCCTGAAACAGCTCAAAGCACCCCAAAACCAGCCCAAACCCCCTCCACAACAGTTTAACACCCCAAAAACATCCTGAAACAACCCCAAAACTCCATGGTACCCCAATCAACCACGGGCATCTCCATCCCTCCCAACACTGCTGGCACCCCTAAATGACCCCAAACCCCATCTTTCTTGAGCCCCATAAGGAAGGGTCCCCACACCCAGCATGTTGGGGTGCAGGGATGCTGCTTTGGGTGACAGCCCCAGCTCATGGCCCTGCAGCAGGCTCTCCCACAGCCTCAGTCTAGAACCCAGCTGGGTCACCATGGCAACGGGTCAAAACGGCGCCCTTTGTGACCTCATTTGTGTCACCCTACTTGAGTGCTTTGCTCAGGGGAGCAGACAGTGACAGGAAAGAGCAGGAGGAAGGAGCCATTGGGTTGCTGCTGAGCTCAAGCCCTGTTGGTTTGCTCCAAGCTTTCCCCTTCGCTACCCCCTGTTTGGAGGGTGTTTGGGGTTGTTTGGGGGTGTTTTGGGGGTGTTAAACTTGTGCTGAGCCCCAACACCCCCACCCCCCCCGCAGAGGCCGCGGGAGGGCCCCCCCCCATCAGGTCCAGGGACCCCCCGCACCATATGGAGACCCCCCCATGTCCCCCTTGTATGTGGGGCTGGGACCCCAACATCTGGGTCTGGGATCCCCACACCAATATGGGGACACCCCAGTGCCCCTCCCCATTACCCTTTAACCCCCCCCCCCCCCCCCCCAGCCTTGGACCTACCCCAGAAGGTGTCGCAGCTCGAGGCCAGGCTAAAGCAGCTCCACAGCGACCTCCAGAAGGTACCATTTTGGGGGGGTTGGGGTGATTTGGGGCTGTTTTGGGTTCTCACTGGGTGGCACCTATAGGAGCAGCAGGACAAGGTGGTTTGGGGTGGTTTTGAGGTGTTTTGGGGGTGTTTTGGGGTGTTTTTTTTAAGTGTTATGGGGCTGTTTTGGGTCTCTGACCCTGTATCCCGTAGGAGAAGCAGGACAAGGTGGTTTTGGGGTTGGTTTGGGGGTTTTGGGGTTTCTGGAGTGTTTTTGTCCTGTTTTGGGTCTGTTTCAGGGCTCTGACCCTGTATCCCACAGGAGAAGCAGGACAAGGTGGTTTTGGGGTGTTTTGGGGGTGGCTGTGGGGTGTTTTTGTTGTATTTCAGGTCTATTTTGAGGCTCTGACCCCGTATCCCATAGGAGAAGCAGAAGAAGGTGTTTTTGAGGTGTTTTGGGCTGTTTTAGGTTCTGTTTTAGGTGTTTTGGGTCTGTTTTGGGGGTTTGACACTGTATCACAGCAGAAGCAGGTTTTGGTGTTTTTTTTTGGCTTTGGAGGCTCTGACCCTGTGTCCCTATAGCAGAAGGTGGTTTCGGGTGTTTTGGGGGTTGTGTTTGGCCTGTTTTGGGTCTGTTTTGGGGCTCTGACCTTGTATCCCACAGGAGAAAAAGGAGAAGGTGATTTTGGGGTGGTTTTGGGGGTGTTTTGGGTCTGTTGTTTGGGGCTCTGACCCTGTTTTAGGAGAAGCAGGACAAGGTGGTTTTTTTTGGGGGTTTTGGGGGTTTTGGTTTTTGGCCTGTTTTGGGTCTGTTTCCGGGCTCTGACCCTGTATCCCATAGGAGAAGCAGGACAAGGGGGCTTTGGGATATTTTGGGGGTGTTTTGGTGTTTTTGGCCTGTTTTGTGGCTGTTTTGGGGCTCTGACCCTGTATCCCACAGGAGAAGTAGGACAAGGTGGTTTTGGGGTGGTTTTGGGGTTGTTTTGGGGGTTTTGGGGGTTTTGGGGCTCTGACCCTGTGTCCCATAGGAGTATTAGGGCAAGGTGGGTTTTGTGCTGGCTTTTGGGGTGTTTTTGTCGTGTTTTGGGGCTCTGACCCTGTATCCCATAGGAGAATCAGGAGCAGGTGGGTTTGGAGAATGTTTTGGGGTGGTTTTGCGTGTTTTGGGGTGTTTTTGTCATGTTTTGGTCTTGTTTTGAAGCTCTGACCCTGTATCCCATAAGACAATCAGGACAAGGTGGTTTTGGGGTGGTTTTGGGTGTTTTGGGGTGGTTTTATCTTGTTTTGGGGCTGTTCTGGGGCTCTGACCCTGTATCCCACAGGAGAAGCAGGACAACATGGTTTTGGTTTTTGGGGGTTGGGCTGTTTTGGGGGTTTTCCCATAGGAGAAGCAGGGGGTTTTGTGGTTTTGTCCTATTTTTGTCATGTTTTGTGTCTTTTTTGGGGCTCTGACCCTGTGTTCCATAGGAGAAGCAGGACAAGGTGGTTTTGGGGTGGTTTTGGGGCTTTTTTGTTCTGTTTTAGGTCTGTTTTGGGGCCCTGACACTGTATCTCATAGCAGAAGGAGGACAAGGAGGTTTTGTCCTGCTTTTTGGGGTGTTTTGGGGTGTTTTTGGCCTGTTTTGGGTCTGTTTTGAGGCTCTGACCCTGTGTCCTATAGAAGAAGCAGGACAAGGTGGTTTTGGGTTGGTTTGGGGGTTTTGGAGCTGGTTTTGGGGTTTTTGGAGTGTTTTTGTCCTGTTTTGGGTCTGTTTCAGGGCTCTGACCCTGTATCCCACAGGAGAAGCAGGACAAGGTGGTTTTGGGGTGGTTTTGTCCTATTTTTGTCATGTTTTGTGTCTTTTTTGGGGCTCTGACCCTGTGTTCCATAGGAGAAGCAGGACAAGGTGGTTTTGGGTGGTTTTGGGGTGTTTTGGGTCTGTTTTGGGGCTCTGACCCTGTATTCCATAGGAGAAGCAGGACAAGGTGGTTTTGGGGTGGTTTGTTTTGGGGCTCTGACCCTGTTTTAGGAGAAGCAGGGTTTTCCTGATTTTAGTGTATTTTTGTCCTGTTTTGGACCTCTTTTGAGGCTCTGACCTTGTGTCCCATAGGAGAAGCAGGACAAGGTTGTTTTGGAGTGGTTTGTCCTGGTTTTGGCCTGTTTTGGGTCTGTTTTGGGGCTCTGACCCTGTGTTCCATAGGAGAAGCAGGACAAGGTGGTTTTGGGGTGGTTTTGTCCTATTTTTGTCATGTTTTGTGTCTTTTTTGGGGCTCTGACCCTGTATCCCATAGGAGAAGCAGAACAGGGTGGTTTTGGGGTTGTTTTCGGGTGGTTTTGTTCTGTTTTAGGTCTGTTTTGGGGCCCTGACACTGTATGTCATAGCAGAAGGAGGACAAGGAGGTTTTGTCCTGTTTTTTTTTTGGCGTGTTTTGGGGTGTTTTTGGCCTGTTTTGGGTCTGTTTTGAGGCTCTGACCCTGTGTCCTATAGGAGAAGCAGGACAAGGTGGTTTTGGGTTGGTTTGGGGGTTTTGGAGCTGGTTTTGGGGTTTTTGGAGTGTTTTTGTCCTGTTTTGGGTCTGTTTCAGGGCTCTGACCCTGTATCCCACAGGAGAAGCAGGACAAGGTGGTTTTGGGGTGGTTTTGTCCTATTTTTGTCATGTTTTGTGTCTTTTTTGGGGCTCTGACCCTGTGTTCCATAGGAGAAGCAGGACAAGGTGGTTTTGGGTTGGTTTGGGGGTTTTGGAGCTGGTTTTGGGGTTTTTGGAGCGTTTTTGTCCTGTTTTGGGTCTGTTTCAGGCCTCTGAGCCTGTATCCCACAGGAGAAGCAGGACAAGGTGGTTTTGGGTTGGTTTTGTCCTTTTTTAGGGCTGTTTTGGGGTTCTGACCCTGTATCCCATAGGAGAAGCAGGACAAGGTGGTTTGGGGCTGGATTTGGGGGTGGTTTTGTTTTTTTTTCCTGTTTTGGGTCTGTTTTGGGGCTCTGACCCTGTATGCCATAGGAGAAGCAGGACAAGGTGGTTTTGGGGTGGTTTTGTCCTATTTTTGTCATGTTTTGTGTCTTTTTTGGGGCTCTGACCCTGTGTTCCATAGGAGAAGCAGGACAAGGTGGTTTTGGGTTGGTTTGGGGGTTTTGGAGCTGGTTTTGGGGTTTTTGGAGTGTTTTTGACCTGTTTTGGGTCTGTTTCGGGGCTCTGACCCTGTATCCTATAGGAGAAGCAGGACAAGGTGTTTTTGGGTTGTTTTGCCCTGTTTTTGGCATGTTTTGTGCCTGTTCTGGGGCTCTGACCCTGTATCTCACAAGAGGAGCAGGACAAGGTGGTTTTTTGGGGCTTTTTTGTTCTGTTTTAGGTCTGTTTTGGGGCCCTGACACTGTATCTCATAGCAGAAGGAGGACAAGGAGGTTTTGTCCTGCTTTTTGGGGTGTTTTGGGGTGTTTTTGGCCTGTTTTGGGTCTGTTTTGAGGCTCTGACCCTGTGTCCTATAGAAGAAGCAGGACAAGGTGGTTTTGGGTTGGTTTGGGGGTTTTGGAGCTGGTTTTGGGGTTTTTGGAGTGCTTTTGTCCTGTTTTGGGTCTGTTTCAGGGCTCTGACCCTGTATCCCACAGGAGAAGCAGGACAAGGTGGTTTTGGGGTGGTTTTGTCCTATTTTTGTCATGTTTTGTGTCTTTTTGGGGGCTCTGACCCTGTGTTCCATAGGAGAAGCAGG